AGTTGATCCAGTTCAGGTTTTTCCTTACCCCCTGTTATTGAATTCCCGTGTGACTAGAATCTCTATCTCTTTCTCCCTGGACTTAGAACCAGGGCTTATTAGGGATTTTCCTAAACCAGATCTTCCTTAGTGGATCTCCTTTCACTAATACTTGACATGATACGAGAAATCAGGGACCTTAAGCCATTTATTTTTGCAAATTTACAGACAAGGCCCATTTGATACCACCAAACACAAACGGGAAGTAGTCTGAGGTAGTCTTTGACTACAGTTTTTGTACCACTCCAGGAACTTGGTAATCAAGATGCAGAAACAAGAAGACAATCAGTGCTGGAAAAACTAGGTCTTTTTCCCTAGAAGTAAACCAAGTCCATTTCTCACCTAAAAAAGGAAGATCAGTAAGATTAATTCTATCCAATGTTCCGTCGAACTCCTCATTACATGCTTGAGAATAAGACTCCTTGATTTTCTTATGGGTGACAAGAACCATATCTCACCCCAAACAAGGGAACTCCATCTACCAGGCTCCTGGAAGGCTCCTCAAGATCATTCCACTAGATCTCCCTTCTCCAACTCTTCTGTTCTACTTCAAACCCTAATGAACACTCAACACTAACTTGCCACGTTGCACTCAATACACAGGACATAGAACACTTACTCTACGAATCCACCAACTGTTGCTTGCTGTTATCCCACAAACGATGTATACGCCCTGAAGCACCCTTTGCAAGAATGTGCACTCACGCACGTCCAGGGCTTCCCTAATATTGCAGAATAAATGTTGGAACAAACATCTATTTTGTTCCCTTGAAAATGAACAACATCCAGTTTCAGTTTGGACAAGCAATAACTAACAATTGACTACTTTTTTGAGTCAGTCATACTTTTGCGAACCAAGATTTTTTTTTTTTTTTGATGTAATGGATTGATGTTAGATAGATACTTAGCTCTCTTTCTGGTCCTCTCACTCTTTTCATAATTCACAGAGCTATGGAATCTTTTAAGCTTCCTAGGCCTTTCAATACCCTATTTCTTCTTTAGGACCTTGGAATTTTATCCCCCCTTTTCCCCTTCTTATTGCCTTATATTGCCTGGAACAAATTTATTCTTGTGCCTCAAACCCCATGAAAGTAATGCCCTCTTAACTAATCCTTGCAACATTATGAAGTCTTGACTTGGATAGTCTCTGCTGGAACAATAGTACCAGAAAACTCTATTTTGCTACCCTTAATCCAATCACCCAAGTTTCTTCCCCTCGTGTCATTATCACCCCCTAGAAATCTGAGTATTTTCACTTCAAATCACTGTTACAGGAAGAAAAATCTTGTCATCATTGTAAACCCCATTATGGATAGCCAAGAGAAGCGGCATTTGCCACTGCTCACAAGTAAGAGCAGCTGCTCCACATCAAACGAAAAGATGAAAAAGTAGGGTTGCTGGTGGAGAAAATAATGGATGTCACATGATCTCTTGTGAGCAATAAACAAGAAGATGAAGATGATGATGAAGATGGAGAAGATCAATCATAGATGTATCCTTGGATAGGTCCCTGATAAATTATCCTTGAGCTAGCTATGATGAAGAAGCATCAACCCATGTTTCATTCGTTTTCAATTAAGGCCTTTGGACAGGAACCTACTTGTTTTATTTGTTGTTGAAGCCTTGTACTCTTGGGCTTACCTAAAAGAGGCTCATTCCATGGGCCTTCAGAAAACAGAGTTTTTGAATTCGAAAAGATGCTCGATTGAAGATAGTAGTGAGTACCTTTTTCAAACTCAGCCACAAACATTAGCAAAAAATTCATGCTGCC